AAAAAATCAAGCAAATTAATAATATTTTCATCAATATGTTAGAATTTTAGAGGGACGTGCCTTACTTTTATTTTTTTCTCACTCTTTCCCTATGTTTTTCTTATATTTTTTTTTCCTTCAGATTAGGCTCATCAATAACTCTTGACACTTTACTAGTTCAAGTTTATTCTTGAGGTAGACAAGAAATTGCTGACTCGCTTGCTTTAGAAAAATATAATTATATATTTTTCATCTTGTTATTTGGACATTTTTATGCGCATTTAAATTAAATTAACTTATTTTATTGTTTAATTTGATTAAAAAAAAATTACAGATTAATGTATGCTTTGTTTTAAAAATTAAGATTATATTTTCTTACATCAATTATTTAATAATAAAAAAAATTATTTGCAGTCCAATAGTTAAATGCTTTATCAAACTGAAACTATTTATTTAAAATATTAAATTTTTATCATATAATAAGTTTGTTTTGTTTAAATTAATTTTTAAAATATTTTATTAATATAAACACACAACTATAATTTTATTTGAATTATATATTTATTATGCTTATATAATGATGAATTATATACATTCAAATGCTAAAAAATAAATAGTCTTAATCATTCAATGTTTAGATCTAGAGACAATATCTTAATTATTTAGATATGCATTCAGATTCGGGCATCTTAATCTTAATGAAAACAAATGAGGCATTAATCTTAATTGTCTGTCCATTTGATCCAACAGTTAAGACCACAACTTCTTTTTCTTTCCATTTTTCATTTACCAAGTGGGATCGATAACCCACCATGTCATCACAACACTTAGGCACCACGTGACATAAAGTTGTCCATGTAGAAGACTTATATAGGAAGAAGACTAGTCCTTAGTGGAATATGTGAAGAATTTCCTTGGAAGACCTAAGAATTTCATGGATGGTCCTTGAAACATTCTAGTTGTGTAGAGTATTTTAGAAAGGACACTTATTTGTAAATATGTAAGGAGTATAATTATTATTATTTACCTATTAGCCCCTAAATTAATAGTATAAATAAAGTGGTATTCATTTGTAAAATCAGAAAAAAAAAAAGTTCTCCACAACACAATTCTTCCTAGCAATTCTCTTGAGTTCTCTCTGTCATTCTCTTAGTGATCCCTAGCATAGCCAGATCGTGTTAAAGTTGTGAAAGAACATGACTGAGTTGTCAAGTATCACATGTGCGCTTAGTTGAAGACTAAGAATGTGACAACGTGGTATCAGAGCAAGATTGCGACTAAGAAAATGATAAATGATGGAGAAATCAACGTTGCTAATGCTCGAGCCAACATCACTCAGTATGTCGTTGGTAAGAAGTGCTATACAAAAAGAGGAATGTTGCCAATAAGAACCAGAAGGTGCTCGAGGTTGAGTCAAATAAAGGACTTACATCCCGAGAACATTCTACCACTAAGGTGAGCGACGATGATGTGGAGGTCTTGCCCGAGGATGTCTCTCATAGTAGAGGGTGGATTATAAAGATTAATGCGGGGATGGACACAATTGAGATTATTAGATGACGCCTGGGAAAGGTAGAAGGGGCTCTAAGCATTCTTGAAGGACACACTCTTGAGGAGAGTGATGTTTTGGTACTCATGTTACATTTTACATTTGTTTCTTGGTACAAGTCCGAGCACCAGCTATCAGCGTTGAGTTCGAGCCAATTGTCGCAGTATCCTGAGTCGAGGGTGAACTCATGGCATCTTGGATCATGCATATTTCCTTCTGTAATATTTGGCTAGTTTTTTGTCTTTTGAGACAAATTTGTATAGTTTTGATCCACTTTTTGGACTTGTACTCATTTTGTAGTAGCTCTATACTTGTGACTTCCAGGTTTTGGGTTGATTATTTTGTTTTGTATATATATTATTCTTCTTTTATCTATGCTAAATTGACTATTCTTGCTTTGTTTTTACCGTTATATCCATTACTAGTCGTTCGGGGTTACAGATTGGCTTACCTATTGATGGATTATGGTAGATGTCATCATGACCTTAGAAATTAGATCGTGACATTATGTGTAATGGGTTAATAATAATTGTCATGTGATTAATTGAACATTTTGTGTTATCTCATTGTGATAAAAGAGGACTAGATTTATACGTCAAATCCACAAGGCTAAAGCCTGCAACAGCCTAAAAAGGCAAAAATGGAATAATAATTAATGAGAGGAATAACGAGTAATGAATAGTATGATATACATCCCCTGTTCCATATTAATTGATCATTTTTTCTTTTTTCAAGTATATTAAGAAATCATAAATAAGAAGATAATTTTACTGATTCACCCCTTAAAAAACTTCTTAAGAATTTTACAAACAAATGTGAACAATTTCAAAAAGAATTAATTGCAAGGGTAATATAAGAAAATTTTAATTAGTGCTTTCTTGATTTAGTAATGTGGACAACTAATATAAGAAAATTATTTTTAGTAAGATGATCCACTAATATGGAATGAAGGGAATAGTTAACAATATATATATATAATACAAGATGATGTGACGCTTCTCTATGCTCTCCATTCAAATTTATCTTTTTTCTCTTTTTTGACCATTTTTCTTCATTTAACTATTGATTTTATTTTTAATATCTCATTTTTCATAGCTTTTCTTTTATGAAATTTGTGTGTTTAGTAAATGTCAATTCCCCCTTTATTTTAAATTAGTTAATGATATTATAATTTTCATTTAATTTTTTTATAAGCGCGCGAAGCGCGGTTAAGTACACTAATTTTATTATAATGATACTAATTCAATAGTGAATACCATTCCATGATTAGATAATTCTCACAAACACTAATATAGAAATATGTTAAATAAAATATTAATAGTCATTAACAAGAGATGAATGAACCTGAGATAGAAATATAAATATTACTTTTTGAGATATTAGATCATTTTTACGTATAGATTGCGTTGGTGCAAAATTCTCTTCTCACTAAAGTTTTCTCCCTTGTATCTTATAATTCTCCATTCACACAGACGATTCTCTGAAATACATATTAATGAGCATTAAAAATGCTAACATTTTACATATGCATAAGTATACACATTACTTTACTATATAGTAGAAAAGACTACAACCAGGCACGATTTCGTCAACATGTATGTTTGTAGTCACTAGTCAAGGATGGTTTGGTAATTTATTATTTTCTTTTTTAAAATTTTATCTTTTATAATTTTATATATATTAAAAATTATGTAAAAAGTATTATAAATCATAATAATTAATAGCTTAAAATATTTTAAAATATATAAAAAGTTTCCGTTAACTCTCAAAATTTCATCTATACCACATAAATTGGGATAAAGAGAGAGATATATTATATAAAATACATAAAATATATTGTAAATCACAATAATTAATAACTTAAATATCAAGAAGAATTTATAAAAAAATTGATTAACCTTTGAAATTTCATTTGTATCACATAAATCAACACAAAAGGAGTAATATATATTATATGAAAATTACGTAAAAAAACATTATAAATCACAATAATTAGGAACTTAAAAATTTCTCTCTCTCTCTCTCTATATATATATATATATATATAATTGATTAACTTCAAATTCCACATATATCACATAAATAAATTAAAACAGAAAGAGTAATATGTATTGGAGCACGGGTTCGTGTCTAGTATATATAAAGAAAGTGCGACTAGAAATATTATAGTCACACGACTTTTACTCAACACTTCAAAAAAATTTAAGAAAAGAAAATGATACAGATAAAAAAAAATTGGGTATTAATTATTTATTGAGGTCTACTTCTGCTTCCTAATTATTGCTTGAGATCTAATATTATTTTTTTATTGGAATAAAAAAAGTACTGATAAGAGAGACTCTAATTTTGGAATAAAAGATTGGAACCAATATTAGGACGAAAAAAAATTTAATTATAATTTTTTAAAAATAAACATTTAAATATACTGAAACCAACATTAATTTGGAACACATATATACCTTTAATTTTTGGAAATTTTTAAAAAATTAAAATTTACCCAAGTTTTTATATTTTATAAAAAAAATGCCCCGTCATTTATTTGCCCCAAGTTGACAAACATGAGAAACCTATAAATGCACTCACACAACTAATGTGCTGTATTTCTATTTATGATGTGCTTGTTGTTATATGACTCTCAAGTATGTAATAGTATTGCTACATGAAATTTGTTAAAAGTATGAGAATATAAAAATTTGATGCTCCTTTATAAGCAGGTTGAAGCTTATAATATAGGCGTTTAATTTTTATCAATGAATACATTTATTATAAAATAATAATACAAAATTATAAATATTTTAAATAATTTTAAGAACTTATCGGTGTAAATCATATTTTTTAAGAAAGTCCAATATTTTTTAATATTAGCAAAAAGTAAATGAGTTCACCCAATTAAAAAAAAGTCATGTGTGTATTTTTCTCCCACCCACTCTCCAAACAGAAAAATAGGTATACTCCCATTATTATAATTTCTTTATATTACTTTTCTTTTTAACTCATTTTTTTTTATAAAAATATATCTCGTTTTTTTTTACAATTCCATAATTCTAAATTTGTCCTTTACTCAATTTAAGGATCAGACAAATGACAGAAACGTTGTTTACCTACCAATAAAACAATATTTAGCTAGATGTCGATATGCTTTTTAAAATTTCTAATTAAAATAAAATTGTAGATGGATATGAATAATAAAAAGAAAAAGTTGTTAAGGAGGACTCTGAATGGTCTTGAATATCCAATCCAATAAATAATAATACAACCACTTTCTATAATGTCATGTAACTCAACTTGTTTCAACATGGCCAAAAGAAATTACCTAGACTTTCTATTTAAATTTATGGAGTGATTTTATTTGTTGTCAAATTTCTACACTATATATATCTGAGATAAATAGTTGAACCTTTAAAATACTAACAAAAATGTCTTGTATAATTCTATGATTTTACAAAAAATATAAGTGAAAATAGTCCTCCTCTTCTTAAGTTCTATATGAGAGTACAAGCAGATTTCACATTTGAACTGCACCTTTTTAGGCTCCTTATTAAACAACATTTTCTTATACTTTTAACTCCTTTAAAAACTTCCAAACTGTTCCGTGATCAATGAAAGATTACAATCAATGAGCAATGAGTCATATACATGATAAGCTTGGCTGTTACAACTCAACAAACTCTTTAATACCAAGGATAATATCAAGAAGGTTGAAGAAACTTGTCAATTCAAAAGCGGAAAAAAAGAACATAACAAAAGAAAAACAAATTGAGCTCACTACAAAGTAGAATTAGAAAGCGCTCTCAATAAATATAAGTTCGCCGTCATTTTGTCAAAATCATCGTGGTAGAAGCAAACAATATAGACCCTGTCTAGAGGAAATATTCATCTCCAATTTGTGAAGGAGAAAATGCAAGCGAGTAATTCACCCACATCATGTTTTTAAGATAAAAGTGAATCCTATAATTAGTAGAGCCCAACTGAATTACTATCCTTACTAACTAATATTTACATTCATCCCAATTGTTACCCGTTCTTAGTTATGATGGAATAATGATTCCAGCAACAAATAAAAGTTCACTATAACGCGCACCAAGAGTGACTCAAAATAGCAGTCTCCTCCCAAGCTTGTGCATGGGGAAAAGATAAATTTTCACGGCTATCTGCAATATTTGATGCAAGACTTTGTAGCTTATATCAATGGTATAGCTGCAACATTTTTACCTTGTGTACGTCATTCAAACAGTTAGCCTCTTGTATCAATAGTATAGCTGCAAGATTTTACCTTGTGTCATCCAAACAGTTAGTCAGAAGCAACTGGGCTAACTCAAGCTAACAACAACTTGATAGAATATCAATACCTAATGAATATTGTAGAAGGAATAATCACCGATCAATGTAATCAAGAACTCAAGAAGAAAAACAAATGTGCATGTAGACAGGATAGTCTTTGATTATTAGTAGGGGCTTGGCATCAGGTTTCCTAACCTACCTAAGACACAAAGATTAAGCAACTCACAACAATGAAACTCAACTTAAACTCCACAAAATCCTACAACTAATAGGAATACTTGAGGAGATAACAAACCTTCAAGAATTGTTCAGCTAAAAGTGTATAGGTTCATCAAAGTTTTAGCTCATTCAACGGTCCTTCTTAAAGTGCTCCAGTTGAATTCTTTTTAGTATTGAGAATAAGCTAAGAAGGAAGACAAAGAATTTAAGGCAACAAAGTTACTGATCTCAATAGAAAATTAGTGATTGAAAATGACAAGTTCAACTAATAAAAAACTACCGAGCTGAATATCTAACATGAGATTTGCCTTATATATACATACATGTAGGAAAGGTAAAAAATAAATAAAAGACAAACATACCTGCTGAAAATGTTCAGAATCATAACAACAGTATTGCAAGCATTCTCCCCTGTTCTTCTTCCGAATGAAGCTGTCTAAAAGATAACAAAAAGGCAGAGGATCATTTCTCCACACATCATCTATTTTCACATTTTACTCATTTTAATTTTGAAGTACAAACATCACATGACAGAGTTGCTTTCAATTGCTTTTGTAGGCAAAGGAAAAACATATTAAGACGACATAAGAGAAGATCATGAGAGAAAATGTATGAAATCGGAACTCTCAAACAAATATTCTTTCATCACGACGGAAAAACTAACATCTATTATAATCTATGTTCTTTCCCAATGGATTGGTGCGTATTACTCTTTTCTCTTTCAGTTGTACAAGATATTGTTTCTGCAATGTACAAACACATAAGCAATATATCTTTAACAAATATAAGTAAAGAACATTTATGTTCAGTCACAAGTTGCACTGAGCAAATTGATGACCGTTAAACCATTTCAACAGACATTTAGGTTATCTCAACTCTACTTTGTGGAGGTGAAGATGGGATTTTCAATAGACCCAAAGCAAATTAAACATTGAGGTTAAATATTTGTAATACTTGTGATACGACAAGAGAGTCTGGGATCGCCTGCTATGGCTGCAAGCACAGATTACAGGGTAATTTGCCATCCGGGTTGCCCGACCAAGATAAGGATCCGATTTTTTCCCTACACTATTGATTTGCTCAGAGAAAAAAGAAAATCATCATTATAGCCTCAGAATTTTCGCACCAATTATTATTAGTAATTACTACTACTGCTATTGATTCTCACTTTGGGTTGAGAATTTTTTGAGAGAGCAAGCATAGATTAAGGGACCGTTTGGTAGTTGAAGAACTTAAAATGGCTGTTGAAATATATTTTTCACAGCAAAAATTGAAATCACAGGCATTGCAGAGAGAGGAGCAACATACCTTTGAAGTGTTCCCCTTTACTCTCTACAACCCTCATTCTTTGGCTCTAAATCTAAGATAAGTCTTTTTCCTTTAACAGAAAAATTCTCATGTGTTTATCGACCTGTGAATTCAACAGTTGTAATGTTCAAAGAAATTTATATCAGCAAATGAAACACTGAGGCTCAGATCTGTAATACTTACAACTCGGCAAGAGTGACTTGAATCGCCACCTCAATGGCTGCAAGCACCAATTGCAGGGTCACTTCCATCCAAGTTAACCAAACCAAGATACGTGTCAAATTTCTGTCCTGCACTATCAATTTGGTCAGAGAAAGAAGAAAATCATAATCATAGCATTGAAATTTTTGCAACAATTATTATTATTAGTTCTACTACTACTATTAATGTTCCGCACTTTAGGATTGAAAATTCTATAGAATAATCAAATATTAAGGGGTCCCTCGCTAAGATGTTTACATGCAAAAGGGCTATCAATTATTTATTTATTTTTCACAAAAAATAAGAAGGAATTACAGACATTGCAGAGAGGAAGCAACAATAGCGCCCTTCCAACTTTCTCCTCTACTCTCGGCTAATTCTCGTTCTTTCGGCTTTGATTTGTGTTGTGTGATGAAGAGAGTTGAAAGAAGAAAAATAATATTTCTGACTATTCTAGTTCTAGTGAAAAGATGTAGAAGTTGTAGAAATTTTTTTTCCTGGACGAAGATAAAACTTGATTTGAAAGTGGTGGACTACGTGTCCATTTGGTTTTAGGATGAAAGACACATCTTACTGAATGTTTGAAAAGTCAAATATACCCTTACATTAAAATTTATTGGCATTAAGCTGCCATGTTGAACAAGCCTTTTCTATTATAGTAGAAAAAAATAGAAATTCACGGATACTACAAAAATTTAAAAAGAACAATGCCTGGAAAACTTTGGCGGATAATTGATTAATGAATTTTAGTTTTGTACACCGTCAACTATCTAACTGTTTTCGAATTTTTTTAATTTCAAAATTCAAACACTATTTCTTTTTCCTTTTTCCAATAATATTTATCCCTCATAACTCTTAGAGTATGTTTGGCATTGTTGTTGGGAAGCTAGAAGTGATTTTTTTGAGAAAAAAATTAAGTGTTTGACAAATTCTTAAAACTGTTTTTAAATGGACAGTTTTTCTACTGAGAAGATTCTAGAAATTTCTGTTTTAAAAAAAAAGCAGAAGTAGAAAATTATTTTTTAAGACTATAATATCCTTTATAAATATATATATATATATATATATATATATAT